ACATCACACTTGGTGAAGTAGAGGGTCATCAAAAAAGAGGAAGACCCTCAAGGAGATAGATTGACACAGTGACTGCAAAAATGGGCTCAAACATAGCAATGATTGTGAGGATGGTGCAAGACCCCACAGTGTTTTGTTCTGTTGCACATAAGGTCACTATGAGTCAGAACTGACTCGACGGCACCTAACAACAACATAGCTTCCAGCATCATAGCAACGCGCAAGCCACCACAGTATGACAAACTGACAGACAACAGTGAGTTAGACAGTAATCTGTGCTTAGTTTATTTTGACTACGCAACCACTATTCAGAGCTGAAACATTAATGCATAATGATTCATCTTCCTTTTTCTGAACAATTCTGTTTTCTCTTCAGCTTATAATTGTTTTTTTTGTCATTTGTTTGCTTAGTTTTCTATGTTCTGTTCCCAAAGCTCTCTAATCTCCTTTCAGTGAATTCAAAATTATCAGATGTTTCATCAGTTTTGCCCTTTTTGAGTCATTTCTTCTGGAGTCTTCTGATCTGCTTCAGTTTGGCCAAGTTGCTCACTAAACCTGCTACACAAGTTTCTTTTTGTAATCTCCTTTTATCATCCTTCTCAAATCTCCTTTCATCAATGTTCTGTAAATTTCCTTTACTTCTCTTATTATAGATTCCTGGTTGTCTGGCATGATGTTTAATTGTCACATAATTTCATGTAGCAAATGGTATGCACCCTTATTTTGGTGGAGTGCATCCTCTAGTCACTTTTCAAGAGAAGGTAAACTTTTGAGACAACTAAAATTTTATTTTTTCTCACTTTTAATTAATAATTTTCTCATTCTTAATTATTGTTTTTGCACTTTTAATTAATAATTTGGTTAAGCATAGAACTCCAAGTTTAAATTCTTTTCCTCCCTGATTTGAACGCCATTACTCCATTTTCTTCTAGCTTCCAGTTTTTGTTGAAAAATACATTGTCATTCTGGTTTTTGATCATTTGTATACAAACCTGCTCCCCCGCCTCGGTAGTTTTCAGGATCTGTCCTTTGCCCCAGCATTCTAAAATCTGTGGTGATGTGCCTAGGCATACATCTTTTTCGGTTCATTGTCCCAGACACTCAGAGGACAGTTTTACTCTAAAAATGCATGTCCTTAACTCTGGGGATTTTTCTTGAATTGTTTACTAGATTCTTTCCTCCCCTCTGTTTTCTCTATTTTCTGGAATTTTTGTTCTTCAGATGTTGGATCTCCTGTTTTCTATTAAGGTGAAGTATGGGCAGTCACTGGGCTGTTTGAAGTTAAGGAGAGGAGATTTGGGAATTAAATTCTTAAACAGTCCTTCATTCATCCTGTTTTCAGGCCTTCCTTCACTCAAGCTTCTAGAACTTTCCTCACAGCCAGCTGAATTACCAATTGTTCTTCTGCTTTCCAGCTTCCAAAATTGTGTTGCTGTGGCCTTCTCTCCTGCGGTGCACACCTGTCACATCTGAGATGCACTTACAGGTTGTTCGTAAACATCCATCCATCCAGTCAGAGCCAGAGCACACAAGACGCTCCCAGAGTGTTGGCACATGCAGAGTGGACAGCAAACAATATAGAGAGACAGCAAGCAATCCGTAGAAATCAGTGTTCACTCCTAAATGACAGTTTCATGGTGAGGAATTAATATTTACTCTCACATCACTGGGCTGGCACCTCTCTTGGCTGGCTCCCTCCACTGCTGGTCCAGCTGTCAGCCAGCAGCGTCGGGACATTCTTTGAGACTGAACTGCTCTAAGGGCAACCCCTGCGCAGGGTGTACCCAGGCTCGGCAGACAGGCCTGTAGGGTTTCTGATGGGCCCTCTAAAGCCTCAAACTGTTGCTGGGAACTCCGGGTTCAGCTTGACGCAACTCTATCTAGAGCCAAAAAGACAGAGACCGAGTTGGCAAGAACGAAAGGCAACTTTATTGGTTGGCCAAGCAAGGAGACAGTTGGGGCTGCGTACCTTTCAAGACTGCTCGCAATCAACTCGTCGAGGCTGGTTTATATAGGCAGGATCAGTTACAAAATAGAAAATGGCATGCCCACAGGCACAGAGCATTCCAGAATGAGTAAGCATTTTCTAGGGCCTAGGTTCAATTCCCTGTGCAGGAGGAAGTTAGCCATTTTTGTTCATTAGCATGTTAGCTCTCCGCCCAGGGGCAGAGAATTTACCATGCTTGAGGCAGTTAATGAGCTAAAGGTCATCCGGAGTGCCAAGATGGAGAGCAGGACCCGCTTTAGCCGGTTCTGGCTAGCTGGTGGCTGTTTCTTTTCAAAGAAGTTCTCAGGAGAAAGACAACTTCAGGAAATGGGCTGAGTGAGGGGCTGTCCTGAAGAGACAACAATTTTAAGAAAATGGATGGATCTAGCCTTGTCTTAGGATGGGACCCCTAGCGCCTCGGACAGGCCCTCTAGTGTGTCTGAGAGGCCCCCTGTACTACCTCTGGCCTCTCGCTTTCAGCCAGGGTTTTTGCTGCTGCCCGGGCGCCCTCGTGGCCTAGGTGCTCGCTGCTGCTGCAGTCCCAAGCATGTTACCGTTCTTGGCCCACTCCTCTCAGACCACTGTGCTGCCACATCTCTGCTCAGCAGATGGCAGCCTCTGCTTCTCCTGGCCTCGGTTGTGTTTCCTCTCAGCTCTGCAGATGGCAGCCTCTGATTCTCCTGGCCTCGGTTGTGTTTCCTCTCAGCTCTGCAGATGGCAGCCTCTGCTTCTCCTGGCCTCGGTTGTGTTTCCTCTCAGTTCTGCCTTCCACAGGGACCAGGGTTTCTGCAGTTTCTGGTGCTGGTCTCTGGATAAACCTTCCAATCATTTATCTCTCGGGCTGATGTCTCCACCCTAAGACAAGGATTGGGGGGTGAGGGGGTTGTCCTTTAGCACAGAGCTTTCATATCCCCAGGGGACATGCTCTCCTCTCTCTCTCTCCAGCAGCCCTGGAAGCCCCAGCAAGCCTCTGGCTTCCCAGACTTTCAGTGGCCTCGCCAAGCCTCCTGATGCCTAGTCAGCACTGGCCCCCAGGCAGTCCCTGTTGGTCAGGTCAGCCCTCAGTCACTGGCCTCAGGTGTGATCCTCCTCTCAGGACCAGGACCAAAAGGCCAGATCTTCCACTGCAAACGTGTTCCACAGCTGGCATCTCCTATTCCCTTTGCCTTGTATATGTATGTCTTGTTTGAAAAACATCTCTCTACTATTATCTTAGAGGTATAACAAGAAAGAACAAAGGTAACCATATGTGTTCAATCTGCCATCTTAAAACTAAAAGCCCAAGTGATTTTTTAAAAGAAACTCAGATAATTTGCCACATATCGTAAGCTCATTTGCACAATTATAGTAAATTGAATAAATATTCACAACCTTATATGACCTGCTGGAAAATGAACAGTTTAATCTAGATCCTAAGGATTTACAATACAAGGAGAGAATGATGAAAGGGTAAAGGGCTCTTTATATTTGTGCTGAAGTGATTTTTGTGCTGTCATTTCCTTTCTTGAAAACTCCATCATCTGTAACTTAGATCTGCAAATACAAAACCTAACAGGGCAAAATGAGCAACAGAATATACCTAAGTGTCCATATAACAAGGGAAGAATGCATTAATGGAAAGAGACTGGCCTCATTATTCATTTATGGTTCTATTTAAGTCCTGTCTTTCACATTATTTGAATCCAGGGGCCTTCTCTGGTTTGACTCTGCCTGATCTTTTCTTTTTAGACTGTCACAGCAGGACAGAAAAAGGAGGCAAGACAGACTGTCCTTGTCCTTGGAGTCCCTTTTCATATTGTGTTTGGCACAGCGTATGCCTTTCACGGGCCTGGCTAAGAGGTGACATTTGCAGGGTCCTTTATCACTTACCAGGCCAAGGGCAAAGGCAGCCAGATAGCTGCCCTGTGGCCACGGGACAGTTGACCCTTTTCTAGGGAGGAGGGAGGAAGATGTGAGTGACAGCTCAGGAGCTACCTTCTGACATGGCGCAGTGGACTCGCCCAAGCCTTCTTTGTGCAGGTCTGCCAGAACTGGACCTGCTCATCAAAACAGTAAAAAGGAAAAATACTGTATATCCCTCAAAAAGATACTTTGCAGGGCTTACCAGGGAGAAATGACCTTTCCTCCAGAATGAGGGTGTATACCTGGCATCTCCACTCCTCATCCTGGCCCTGACCTCCCCCATGTGAGGCCCAGCCGGGCTCCCCTGCCTTCCTTCTCCAGCAAGGGCCTGGGTGCAGAACACCAAGGACGGCTTAGACCCCAGCAATGCCTCTGGGCCCTCTCAGCAGAGCAGCATCTCTTTAAAGGAGTGTTTCCCAGCTGCTGAGAATAACAGTTTCTCCAAATCAGGATGCAAATCAGTTTTTTTAAAAGTTCTTATTAACCAGGGGTCATGTGCCAACAAGGCCAGGCGTATAGTGGAGATGAGGGGAACCACAGGCGGCTGCAGAAGGGCTTGTCCGTGCCCTGCTCTGGGGCTCAGTCCATGGAGGAGTGCAGGGTGCATGCGGCAGGCATGATCAAGGCACAGGGAAAGTGCACCTCTCACCCTGATGTTAGGGGTACGGAGACGGGCCTGTTCCTGGGAGACACAGGATTCCTCTGATGGTGACTTTGCACCAAGGGCTCCCCTTGGCCTCGCTGCACCTTCCTTAGACTGTACAGCAGCCCAGGACGCTTCTGCCAGACCTCCTTCGCTTACTCCTTCCCAGGACGCAGACCTGCACCATGGGCCATGGTGCTCCCAGCTTCCCCAGCTAACTTCCTGTCATCTCTCGTGGCTGTTTCCCCTAATAAAATGGTCACATCTTGGCATCTGCTTCTCAGAAATTCAGACTGCTCTGCCTGCAGACTATCAGTACACACATTGGCAGATTGATTGGGTCGAGGAACAGGAGGCAGAAATGCCAAGTTGTGTTCTTGGTTTACGACCAGACAGAGCCTGCAGGACTCATGATTTCTCGTTTGCATAGTCTGATGCCCTATTTCTGTCTTTCCCCCTTTTCTTTAGGTTGTGGCTCTTTCCTCCTGGTGCCTGCTGAGGGATTCGATTTACTACACGCTATCTGTGGTTGCACTGATCGTGGTAAGTGTTTGATGTCCGAGTTCTCTGACCCCAGGGCCTTTCCCTAGATAACACCAATGTATCATTAGCATTTTTAGTTTAACTCCCAGTCAGTATATTTCTCACGACTTGGGGCTATGAACAGCTCATCTGCATGGAGTAAGTTCAAGAACATGGATGATGAATGAACCAGTGAGTGAATATCTATACATGGAGACTGTTTTTCTTTCTTCCAGTTACTTCGATCACCTAGGCCCACAGCCTGATAGTTTCGTGCTCAGAAGTTTTGACTCGAGTTATGTGGTTCCAAGGGACTCCTCTTTTCTTTGTCCAGGGCCTTCCTGAACATTCCTTCTCACTTCCCTCATGGGCTCTTCTGTAACTCCCTTCAGTGTCAGTGTCCCAGGGTCCAGGCCTTGCTTCTCCCCTCCTCTCACTGTACACCCTCCCAGGCAACCCCCCTTCTCCCAGAGCCCATTCTTTGTGCTAACAACTCCACATCTGTATTCTCAGCAATGACATTTCCCTGAAGTCCAGTCATATCTACTAGACATCTTCATGTCCCAAACTCAACATGTCTCTCTCTACCTGAACTTACTACATTTTTCCCAAGACTGGACATTCTTTCTGTATTTCAGCCCATTCCCATCCTAGTTACCCAACCTAGGAATGATATTAAATTGATCTTTTTAGCAACTCCCACCATATCCATTTGGCTTAATATTCCTGTGGATTTTCACTTCATCAAAATCTCCCCACTGCATGCCTCACACCATACACAAAAAAAATTCAGAATAGATTAAGGACCTATATGTAAAAACTAAAACCATAAAATTCTTAGAAGAAAATGCAAGGCAAGGCTGTCAGGCAGGCCTGGCTTTTTAATAATGGATTATCTAATGTAATAGCAAAAGTACAGACAACAAAAGACAAAATAAATAAATGAGACCTCATAAAAATTAAAAACTTTAGTTCATCAAAAGACTATCAAAAAAGTGAAAAGGCAAGCTACAGATTGGGAGGATATCTTTGGAAACCATATATCCTACAAGAATCTGATAGCCAAAATATATATAAAACTTCAACAACTTATTAGCAAAAAGATAAATAACCGAATCATAATATGGGCAAAGGAATTGAATAGACATTTCACCAAAGAGGACGTTCAGATGGCCACCAAACACATGAGAAGATGGTGAACGTCATCAGCCATTAGAGAGATGCAGATCAAAACCACACTGAGATACCGTTTCACTCCCACTAGGATGGCTAAGATAGAAACAAACAAAAAATAGAAAATAACAAGTATTGGTGAGGATATAAGGAAATTGGAACCCTTATCCATTGCTGGTGGGAATGCAAAATGGTACAGCCACTGTGGAAAGTAGTGTGGTGGTTTCTCAAAACACTAAAAATAGAACTACCATATGACCCAGCAGTTCTACTCCTAGGTATTATACCTAAAAGAAAGCAAAGACTCGTACACCAATGTTCACTGCAGCACTATTCACAATAGCCGAAAGGTGGAAACCATCTAAATGCCCATAAACAGATGAATGGATAAACAAATTGTAGTACGTACACACAATGGAATACTACTCAGCCAGTAAGAGAAATGAAGTCTTGATACATGCTACCATATGGATGGGTCTTGATGACATTATGCTGAGTGAAATAAGTCAATCATAAAAGGATAAATATTGTATTACCTTATATAAAAAGACAAGAACAGACAAATGTATAAAGACCAAAATTTACTAGTAGTTACTGGGGCAGGAGGGAGGGGCAGAGGATGGACTATTGCTTATGGAGTACTGAGCTTTGGTTTACAGTGATGGAAAAATCACATTGGTTAAAAGGGAAGGGTCACACAGCCGGTTATTGTAAGTGCTGCCAGTAAGTTGTACACCTGTAAAAAGTTGAATTGGCAAAAGTTGTGTAATAGATGTACTTTAAACAATGACAAAAAAATGTGTAGCTGCTTAGGCTGCTTTTGTACAACCAGACACCTCATGGGATTTGGTTCTTTGGTTTGGAGCTTTAGGGTCATGGTCTCATGGGACATCCCAGTTAATTGGCCTAATAATGTGTTTAGTGCTTCTGTTCTACCTCCTAGTTTGTTGTGTAGTGACTGGGATCTTAAAAGCTTGCAAGTGGCCATCCAAGGCACAACAATTGTTCTCTATTCACCTGGAGCAACAGGGGAAAAAGGAGCATCAGGAATAGGAGAAAATGAAATGTGTGGCTAATTACCTCCATGAACAACTAGACTAGAAGAACTGGATGGTGCCTGGCTACTATTACTAAACATTTTGATCAAAGATGTTATAAAAGAATCTTTGTCAAAAGGGGGGATATGCGGAACAGAATTTAAAATTTCATATAATGTAGACTTTCTGGAGCCATGGAGGCTGGATGAACCCCTGAAACCATTGCCCTGAGATAATCTTTAAACCTTAAACAAAAAAACATCCCTTGAAGTCTTCTTAAAACCAAACAATACCTTACCTTAATTATTAAGGAATGTCTGCCTTTAGCATTGTACTCTTTTAAGAACTATCTATGTGGGATCAAATTGACACTAGCAACTCAAAAAATTAGGTAGGAAACTTAGGGGGCAGTGAGTTTATGTTAGTGGGCAAGGAACAACTTGGTAAAAGGAGGATGAGAATGGTTGCACAACTTGAAAAGTGTAATCAGTGTCACTGAAGTGCACATGTAGAAATTGTTGAATTGGTGTATATTCAATATTCTGTGTATATTCTGAATAACAACAACAAAACTAAAATAAATGATTTTTTTAAAAATCCAACCACAGACAGAAAAGCAATATGAGGAAAGAAGTCATATGCAAGTCACCAGAAATTGTTAGGCAAACGTGTGAAGAAATATTATAATGCACAAGGGGGTCAAAAGAACTGAAAGCTCAAATCAAGTAAAAATGTAAGCCTATTAAATAAGCAAGCATTTTAAGTCAAGTTATTAGGTCATGTTAGTGAAGTTAGTTTCACTCATAGATTGGTGAAGTCTCATAAATTGATACAGATGTTAGAGTGGGAGAAGAATGAATAAATACTCTCATCTGACCTCAGTAATCATCCCCAAAATAATCCAGCTAAGGAGAGTTACATGTGTAAAGTGATTGCTGTGGCATTGTGTTAGCATACAGAAAAACCACAGCTTCAATATCCAGAAGTACAGTAGGAAACCGTTTAATTTTGGTGTGCTCATTTGATGGAATATTAAATGCTGAATGAAACAGGCTTATGCTTCTAAGTGAATAAAGGAGAATTAGCAGTAGAGAAAAATCTCCCCACTGCATCTGCTCATCTCCACATCTCTCATCTCCACATCTCTGGCCTCAGCTGATGCAAGGCTGCATTGTAGGTGATCACAGGTCGGTGTTACAATGCAGTAGCATCACTGCCTCCTACTCCCCTGCCCTCTCCACCCCAGTCAATCCTCAGAGATGCCCAAGTGATGTCTCTACAAAGAACATCTCGAACACCATTCCCATGTTTAACTGATTAGTGACTCCACGCCATCTGTAGGAAAAAACCTAAGCTCCTTAGCTTGGCAAGCCAAGCCGTCCAGAAAAAGGAGAGCAGCAAATCAGAAAGAACCCCAAAATAGGAGTTGGGGGATCTGACTCCTGATTCTAGTCCCCTGAAAACTAGCTCTGTGATCCTGGGGAAATCAATCTCTCTGGGTCTTAGTTTTCTTACCTACAAAGCAGGAATCAATCCCCTGAAGGGTCTACTTACCTGTTTTACAAAGCACTTACCTGTAGAATATTTTATTGTAAATCTCTATACAAACAAAATAAAGTGATGTTTGGTAGGAGACTCTCAACAAGGAGCTAGACAGGTACTTCCACGCTTTTCAGAACATGTGGTTCCATACTTGTCACTTCATACTCAGCTCTTCTGCCTTTGGAGAATTTTTAGGGTGATTTTTAAAAATCACTTTTTTCAAGGTACGTGGTTAGGGGATGGTGTAAATGAATGCAACTGTCTCCTTTGCTGAATTCCAGAAAGTGTTGACCACTTCTGTAAAGACGAAGTGATGAGACAGAGCAGAGCATGTCAAGTACAAACTTAACAATCTCCACGGCCAACCACAAATTTGCTGGTGTTTGCTCCTCTTTCCGTTTTCAGCCTAGACACTTCCTGGAGCATGTGTGAAATAACCTGTCTTCTGTTAATTTATCTGGAAGTGTCCAAGATAAAATGAATGCGGTTGTTACTAATGATGTGTGAAGAAGTTAAGAGGTTTTGCTTCTTCAGGCTGAAGATGCCACATGCTCCCGAGCCTGGTCTCTGGGCAGAAACACTGGCTGCCCTTCCCGTGCGGCGTATAAATCACAGAGCCTGCACCAGCTGAACGCCCCAGCTGCTGGCCAGCTTTCTGTTTCCATCAGAGGGCAACAAAGTGGAAAAGTAAATGTTATCTGAAGATTTGGATTGCATGTTTGCAGGCCAGTTGTCAAGTCTAGAGTTTTGTGATTTTGAGAAAAATTGCATTTCTCCACTGAAAGACAAGGTTTGAGTCCTCAGGGTTAAGTCTTGGTTCTTTTTACTCTAACTGATGTTTCTTCAACTTTAATGTGCATTGGAAGCACCCAGCATGCTTCTGTAAAATGCAGAATTCAGATATTGTAACTCAGTAGATTCTGGGGTTGTTGATAGTTGCTGTTGAGTCAGCTCAAACTCATGGCAACACCACATAAAGCAGAACAGAACATTGTCTGGTCCTGTGCCATCTTCACCATCATTGGTATGCTCTCTCCATTGTTTCGGCCACTGTGCATTTTAAGCACCTTCCAACCCAGCAGGCTCGTCTTCCAGCACTGTATCAGACAATATTCTGTTGTGATCCATAGTGTTTTCATTGGCTAATTTTCTGAAGTAGATCTCCAGGCCTTTCTTCCTAGTCTGTCTCAGTCTGGAAGTTCCTCTGAAACCTGTCCACCATGGGTGACCCTGCTGGTGTTTGAAATACAAGTAGCATAGCTTCCAGCA